ATTTCAAAGTACAGTTTCTATTTATTTCAGTAAAATTCGTTGTAAATTGTAAAAGTTGTATGAGACACGTAGAATGGAAGAATAAAGTCATTCGTCTTGCTTGATGTTTGAGCTTGCTTTAAATTCTGTATCAGCTCGAATCAGCAATACCGTTTCCCTTAGCCGTCTCGGATGCTAATCAGAACCTCAACTGGACTTGAGTGATATCGTCCTCCAGTATTCTCGGTGGTGCAGCCCACACTATAAGTTCGGTGGTGCAAGTAACTCGGAAAACGAATCGATAGTGCGGTACCAGACTCGAGCATTATTATGCGATGAAGTAACACTAACTAACTAACACCGGGACCGGCACTGATAAGGTGGCCGGCTTTTCTTTCTTCACACTCCCCTCGTCCCCGCCCCGTCCCCTTCCGCCAGGACAGACCCACAGAATTGTATCATCATTAGAAAATCGCTCTGACCCGCAAGGAATTTGACGTTTAGTCAATGACTGACTACCCGGTTGCATTGCAAGAACTGAAAACAACGGTGTGCTTAGTTTTAATCTGACTCCCAAATGGAGGGCGAGGGATGTTTTTGAAGGAGGAGGCTAAATGATATCCGTAGAAAATCCATGTACTGGTAAATCAAGAGAAAACGAGAGGAAAAAGAATCCAGTACCTCTCTCAAACACTGCAGTGTTCATTTTAAATGCATATCATAGGACATCAGTCTACATCTCTAACACGAACTCAAAAGGCGTTCCACATGGGTAATAAGATAAAGTATGTCAACAGCTCTGAATACCGGTGACTAAATGCTCATTTTCTCTTGGTTTGATTCATGTGTTATACGTTCTTCAAATGAGCACAGTACGATTTATGTGAGAAAAAGAAGCGTGTAATCTTGGGGATTTTTTTTTTTTTTCGGTGGCTGCACACACCGGGACATTTTATCTGCAATAACATTGTCAAATTTGTAGCCCTTCTCAAATGTTTGCGCAAACTGAAGCCATTTCTGGGTAGCTGCGGTCATATTTTAGGGCTGTGTATTTAAAATGGGTCTGAAATGGGGTATCGAATTTTGGCTCAGGTCTGTAATACCGCATGACATGTATGTATGGCAAGGGTTTCAAGGTTCGGGCCTCACACCCCTACAAATTTTGGCTTTGGAACGGCTTTGATTCGGACGTCGAACTTTTCATGTGCCGAACCTGCTGCATACACCTTGCCTG